AATGTAAGAACATAATACTGCAATCGTACCTGCAATTATACAATATCTTATCTTCAAACATTTCTGTTTTAATTTACAAACAAGCAATCACAAATGACTTTAAAATTACTTCATTCCAAACAGTTGGAATACTCCATAGATTAAACCATATGAAATTCTTCTACGTATCATACAGAATTATTTATCTGAGTAATGCAATAATATTTTTTTTAATTTCAAGAGTAATTTTATCGAGAATCTTTACCATCGAGTAAAGTTTTACTCCGTTAACAGCATTGCAAATTAAGAGGTTATACGCAAAAGCGATTATAATGACAATTAATCAACTGACTTATTAATACATAATATTCCCTCTAAAGAATTGATACGATTCATTTAAATATAATTTTATATTACTTTGTCTTATCTTGTTTGACAGTTTAAAAGCAGTTTCATAGCATGTCAGCCATGTTTAGTACCCTTCCTAGTACTTTTGTCATATTGACTTAAGCCGCTTGCGCCTCTCTGATAAATCTAGGACTCTAGTTGGAGCTTGCGACGCGAACAAACCTTTATGCCAAATTCACACTGGACGCAGCAAGCGTCAAGCAGCGGAGCAGCAACCAATCAGTGATTAGTATGTCTTTGGAGTCCGCTGAACGCAGCCAATAGTAAAAATTTCACTTTTCAATTTCCATCCTAGGGATAAAGTTTCATGATTGATACCAAGTCTTCTTGATGCGCATGAAGAATCGAAATGCGCGCCATTCAGCGCCATTGTGCGCCGTATACTAAAGTGATGTCAAATGTTGTTTGGTTTACTGAAGAATTTTTAACTTGATTTATTTGCAGTTTATCAGACTTGATTCATTCGCAGTTTCTTAAGTCGAGCTCGTTCCAACATTATGGTAATTGCGATTGATATTTTGGGATTGTGACTGATATTTGAGATATTTCGTATAACCTATAATGTCATTGACGTTTGACAATTTTTCAGTTTAGTGAAACTATCCGAATTACAAAATTTATTGTTATAAAAAATTCTATTTACGTTAAGAATATGGCGATTGAGATTCTGTTAGTATTAATTTGATAGATAAACAGTTATTGCAAGACATTCATTCGAGTAACGTTACAAACTTTACAATTCAGAGATGAATATTTTTTTAGACATACTAATGTATTTTTTTTTTTTGGCAGTCTGCCATATTTAATTTTCAGAGCCTACTGACTGTAATATTATTGCTAATATGCACCTGTACCTACATTAGATCGCTGGCACCGAATTTGTTTGACAAACGGCTAGGAAAGGTTGGGTACGTAAACATTTTTATCACTTAAATATATACTCATATATGTAATACACATATTCTGTGTATATTTAACAAATTCTTAATTTTAGTTTTCAGGGTACTTTTTGGAAATGTGCTAGGATTGGGGAAAGAAAGAGTCCATATGTGGCTTTTTGTTGCATTTGTATGGCCTTTAGTATTTTATTTTGGTCGTAACATTCTTACATGGGTCATTCTGACCAATGCATTTGGTGTGTATTCCAAAATTATAACCTAATATATATTTATGTATCTAAGGTCCGAGATGTGAGAAAATAAAAAGCAGTTTTGACAAACAGCTATATTTGCCGTTTCAATAATACATAAAAAATACACTCGTTTAAGCTAGACTTAAAGTCAAAACGAACGTCACTGCTAAATGCATGATAGTTTTTTTTTCTTATTTGTCAACACATTTTTTCCTCCTCAAAGCCATATCATCCAATTTGAGCACATTTTCTCATTGTATTCTCATAATATATTTTTCCGTCCTATAAACAACAACATTCTTTTAATATAGTTATTGTAAAGTTATTATATTGAGCATTCTGTGATATACAGGGTTCGTTAGATAGGTACATTTAACACATTTTTGCTCTGTGCGGGATATGCTAGCTTCTCCATGACAGTAAACCATGCGATGTAACTAAAGCGTCGTCTACAATATGCGAAGTAAGTTTGGTTTAAGAAGTAAGAGTAAGAAATTGACCAATCACAGTCGAATGTGAGAAGAATAATCGACTGTGGTCAATTTCTTACTCTTACTTCTTAAACCAAGCTACTACGTGTATTCTAGATGGGCCATTAGACTTGTACTCCATATTGATGGACATTATAGAACTGTTTAAGATCATTGACTTATTTTATCTCTTCTGTCAACCTTAATACTCTCCGAGTTAAACATTGCTAATATCGCTTTACATAATCGTCTTAATTACAGAGCAAGATATGGTTCATAGTTTTGCGAGGAACATTAACTAAATGATCTTTGTAATATTGCTTAAAAATTATTATAAGATCATTTGCTGTTAACATCTCATATTTTTATACATAACATATACATACATCTATGCCATCATATACATGTATCATCATTAAAATGCACATCTGCAATTCTTATGATGATAGCCGAGCGTGTCTTATAAAAAAAACTGGCAAAGCCTAGTTTAATTTAACGCGTTTTATTTAAAAAGCGATATCGGTCATTCCTCGCGTTTAACCACTTATGCTATATATCTATAACGTGGTTTTGCTTCATTACCGACATATAAGGTACAGTATTTGTGTGTCTACAGGTAATTTAAAAAAATACATAAATAACCGAAGTGACCTATATATAATATATATATAATATTTCTCTAAAGTGTTTGGTATGCTATTATACGTGCTATAGATATGGATCTTATTTCGGATATGACGTGGAAACGCTCGCTATGATGCCAAGTATAATATCATTTCGCTTTCTTACATCACAATAAACAAAGATATTATCGTCTTACATACAAGATATTATCTCTTACATACAAATTACTAAATTAGTATGCTAATTATTTGTCTGCATTTGGGTACGATCGCACAATTGCTTGGCAAGTTCGTGTGATTCATTGATGAAGACGTATTATAATGGCAACGTAACGGATGTTCACTTTAATTAAGTTGTCACTGTCGTTATGAGATATAATATGTACGTCAAGATTGCATTTTGTATGTAAGCGATTAAATTCTGCGGGTTCTACCCATCGTTAACGACAGTGACAGCTCATTTCAGATAGACACCCTGCATATATAAGGCTTTTGACGCTAATGTTATAAAATTACTCCAAGTTACCTATTAATTCAACAAAAAAAAGAGGAATAATTTGCTCGCTCTTCCAATAACAAAAATTTCTTCCTCATATTTTTAACTCTGGAACAATTAGTGGTGCTCGCCTCTTCTATTTTATATTTTTCTCATTCACTAATCAATTTTAGTTGATTTATTCATTTTTATTTTATATTATTTTATATTTATTTATTCATCCATCATTTTTTTTATTTCCATTCATTTATTTTCATATTTATTTTTATTTTAATAATATTTAACAAAAACACTTGCGGATATAATACAATTAGTGCAAGTTTATTTTATAATAAAAGATAAAGAAATAGTATAGCTTAAAATAAACTGCACTGAGTGTCCGAGAGTTAAAATTATCCGGATAATACTATATATTTAATCCAACCAAAGAGCACGTTTCATCCCCGAACTTTTCGCACGTTAGCAACGGATAAAAGGATCATAAAAAATACATTCGTAAGCGTCTTTCCGTAAAAATCCGCAGCGGTTATCTCGGGCAACATTCGCTCGCATTAACGGATCAAACTCTCGCCTCCCCTATTTTCACCCTGCCACGTGTCCAAGTACTCGCTTCTCTACGATCTTACCCTGTAAAAGCGTCCAAGTGTGCGCTTCCCTTTCGATCTCTTCTCGTGCTATTAAGAACGTTGATCTGGCTAATTAAACGGAACAGTTAGTTCTTCCATCAGCCCCTCGTCGTCGTTGTCTAACAATTCTTCCCCCTCGCGTTTTTCGTTTACGAGACTCTCGTGAGTTCCTTTCGCTTAGCCTCGCTACTCGGATCGATGAACACAATTTCATGCTGACTCGCTGAGTAATTCCTTTTGCGTAGGGATAGCTATCGTCGTAATCGTCGTTCTCGTAGTTCTCATCACCTTACGTCTTATCGCACTATCGAGAATAATACGAGACAGAGCGGCAAGACGACCCGCTTGCTGGCGATGATCGCGGACGCGTTGCTGCGATCCTTGAGATTCTGGTGGTTATCGTTGCGGTTGTTATGCTTGAAGGTACCCTGGTCCTTGATTAAGGGAGCGCGCGGATCCGCGGTGGTCGACGAGGTCGCGTACCTGTTGTTGTGAATCAATCGCGCGGTGCTCTTCTGCATCGCCGGCGTGCTCACCTGCTGATGGAAAACCCGATTGACCATCGTCCCTTGCCCGGACTTTGACTTGCCTCGGTTCAGTCGCTTCGAATTGGTCGAGGTGATCCGATTGGGCACGGTTGCGCGCTCGATCTCTGAAAATATCCACATGAATCATGGACAGGGTAACACCAGACGCTTCGCTTTTCGGGCTTTCACCCTTTTTATTTTTTTTAGAACCATATCTCTTTAGTTTTACTTCTTTAGCTATATTGTTGGCGGAAATAATAAAGAACCCCGTAATTATACGGAAAAATTGGATTTCGGTGAAATGTTTTCACATGACTAAAATAATAGATGTTCTTGAGCTGTGGTTAATCAAAAGTGAAAAACTTGTGTTCTCTGCAGAGCATCTTTGATACACCATAGTTAAAAAATGATTGAGTCTGTGAAAGATGTGTAAGATATTTATGACACTTTTTATTTATCATGTTATAAGCTACAATATATGTAAAATTTATTTCTATAATTAATGGAATTCTTTAACTATATTGTATACGTATTTTGAAGATCTGAACATAGAAAAATGATTTTGTTTAAGTAAAAATTTAAATAGATGCAGTCCGAAAATAATTTTGTTGGACCATTAAAATAATTATGCAGGCAACTCAAGTATGATAAGCAATGTTGCAAAAAGTTTTGACATTCTAACAATTAGTTTGAGCATTCTACATAATTGTTTTACTCATAATAGTCCAACAAAATTATTTTCAGACTTGTATTTAAATTGTTAGATACTTTAATAAAATTATTCTTTTTATAGACATATATTGTTAAAAACAGTTAAATTATTCTTTTTGCATTTGAAAAAAATAGTAAATTATAATATTACTTTGAATTATGTTTGAAATTTTATTTATTTTATTTTTGTATTAGTGCGTCATCAAAACGCTATACGCGATATCAATCATATCTATACTGTATGGAAAAAACGGTTTTGCTGAAGTAAAAATTTAGTTAGATACAGGTCTGAAAATAATTTTGTTGGGCCAACAAAATAATTACGCAGAGAGCTTAAACTGGTTGCTAGAATGTCAACATTTTTTGCAGCATTGCTCGTTATATTTGAAATTCTCACGTAATTATTTTTATAATCCAACGAATTTATTTTCAGATCTGTATCCAGCTAAATTTTCAAACATGCAAAAGTACTCTTTTTGTATAGAAGAATTTTTATTGAGCATAGATTTATGATGGCCCTTGCCTGATTGTTATCAAATGATAACGTATTTATATATTCAGTATTCTTATACCTATGTATATGATTACTCACCGTATACTCTGAGAGTCGCCTCAGCTTTTCCCATACTTGAAGAGGCTGAGCACGTGTATTCACCCAAATCCGTTTTCTCCAAGCGTCTTATCTTCAACACGATCGTCGTCTTCCATTCCTCGTCGGGATCTCCTTGCTCGTCGATTTCGTATCTGCCTCTGAATTGACATATCACTTACGTTTAACATTCGCGATAGGGAGAATAGATTCCGTTATTCGACGTCTCGTTAGAATAATCGAATCCACCATGATCGATATCTGAAATCGCTGTGGCCGAGGTCAGGAGCGATTTAACAAAAAGCAATACGGAAACGTTTTGTCTCTTATCGCCAAGGAGATTGTCGAACAACGGATTCGAGCTATGCCCGAGGATCGGTAGACCAAACTGTCAATATTGTCTCGGCACATACCCGCTCATGATAACTTGCTCCTTCCGCATCCACAAGTTAATCGTCTTGGGATAAGCCTCGATTAAGCAGATTAGCGACACGTTTGTATCCAAGGGAGAACTGAGCAGCTGATTGGGTGCTTTAGCGCTAGGAGGGACTAGAATGGTAAAGAAATGAGAGAATGTGATAGAAATGAGAAATCTAATTTTAGCATGTGCTGTTTATGTTTCATTTAATTTTTGATTTTTTTTTTGCTAATGCAAATTACGTTGTGTTTTTTCAACGATTCGGTCTCTCGTTAGCATAATAATGCTATTAAAATACATATTTTCCGTTACAAGAATAATCATTAAATTGGATTTGTCTGACTATCAATTGATTTCAATCTTGATTTGATGGTGTTGACTATAAATCGTTTTCAGGTACTTACAATTTACTTTTAGATTAACCCTCTTGCTGACCGCCGGAGGCACTTCGTTTCTAGCTATGCAAAGATAAGCCCCCATTTGCCTCCTGTCTACCCTGGTTAATTCTAGCCTCTCGCCGGACAGGTTGTCCACTAGAAAATCGTACGTTGTATGAATATCTCGTTGAAAGCTGCTCCCTCGTCGACCATATAAGCCAACGTGTTAACGTGGCCTGAGTAATTATTCGCGAAATACGCCTTCGAGGCAAGCAACGATAAGCAGAATATGAATGTGTAGCAAAATTTGTCGCTGGAATTTATTACCATTGCTGATACAATTTCGCGTTACTATTTCTGTCATAAGGGATATGTGAACTTGCTTAAATTAAAATTTAATTAAGCCTCATTTCACTTTTTAATTAAACTCTAAAGACATACATATAACATTTTTTTAAATTTATTGCCGTTGTATTAACAAAGCTTGCCATAATACTTGTATTTTGGGATGATTGATGAAAACGATGATCGATGGTCGTATTAAACGAATAGAAATGTTATTAGAGATCATAGCTCATAAATGACAGCGATAAATTAATCTAGTTAATTAGAAGAATTTTCAGCATCGCAGGTTACATGATTATATCATATTTTGTGGAAGTAGCGTTTATCATTAAAAGCAAGGAATGATAACGAAATTTTGAAAATATATGTTCTACTATGTGTTTACAATTTCCATTATCCAATGAGGAATTGCATTAGCGTGCACACGCAGTATAGACGCTTTTCAAATAACTGAAAGATAATGAATCATATTATCGAACGAACGGCCGACATAAATCACATATGGAATGTGTCGTTCCACGTTCACGATAAAATGTGTCAGAAGTTTAATAAGATCGATCAAAAATATACAAGATGCGTTGATTTGATCTGACAGCATTTGATCTGATGAATTCGTACAGCACCGTATTCACTTGTATTAAATTAATAATTGTCGCATGTTTGATTGCATTATCGAGTACGGAAATAGTCTTTTTATTTTGGAATTTAATTATTGCGCTCCAGATTTTCGTTAATTGTTAATCAAATAACGGGACATTTTGCAAAAGCAAATTATATCTAGAAAAATGCAATAATTTTCATTATTTTAACAATGATTAACGATATTATTAATATAATTAATTGTAGTGTATATAATATTAAAATATTATACAACAGTTTTTTTTATTATGCAATATATCAATGTCATTGATGTAAAAAATAAAAATTGGTGCAATTGTTTAAATTCATCTTGTGTATAAATCAAAATAATTTATATACACATTTTACATTGCGGTTAATCTATACATCGCGAACGATGTCACGAAGCTTCGAAAACTATAACTGATAAATGAAATATACAATGAATTTAAAAATCTTTCATTGAAAAGTACCGTAAAAAAAGTACTAAAAGTATGTATTATACGTTACACACCCTTCTGGATGCATCGAGCTATATTGGGAATCGATTGCTAAAATTTGTCTCTCTAGCACGACGTCAATCATTTCAATCGAACGTCAATAGTTGTACAAGCACACTCGTTTAATTTCGCGTGAGTCGCTGGCACTCGTATGATATTGCAAGTATTTCTTTTAATCGGTCGATCTGTTCGCGGTGTGATCCACCGAGTGCCAACCAGCGACTACACAAAATTCCTGGACTGTGGATATCTTGCGAAATGCAGCGGAACTCGACCTGCCCGAAGGATATTGAAAGTCATTGCGGACAAACTAATCTCTATTCGATGGAACGTGTTCCGCCGTAATTGCTTTCGATCGAGATCACCTACGTGTGCGAATTTACGATGTCTTCATATCCCCTTAAAACGCTCGACTATTTGATTGAGACACGTCGGATTACCGGGATTATTCTAATGGCGCAAAAGCAAAGATATTAAAACGTTTGCGAAAATATTAAAGAGGAGAGATCTTTTCTAAATTTTTATCTTTATATAGCTCAATGGAAAATGAGATTATTTGTTCATCATTTTTTGAAGCTTTGTAACATTCGATTTATATAGGTATTGCTTTTTCTAAAAAAAAAAAAAGAGCAAGAGAGTTTTTTCTCTTCATTTTAAATTTTAGATAATTTCTATTATCTATTGAGTGTAAACTCAATTATAATGGATGCATAATTAAATCCACAACAGCATTATACGACGTAAATATAGGGACGGGAATAATTAATTCGCGTTGTGGTTTTCCTCGTGGAGAGACACTTCATTCCGGGAACAAACGCACGTTTCACGTAACAAGGCGTGTTGTTATAAAGAGACGACGATTACGTAGATCGGAAGTAACAATCTTGAGTCTCGGGGTCTTGATGTAATATCTTACCTTGTGTCAACGGATCGTGAACACCCCTAACAAGTATGAAATCACTTTTCTCGCGCCGCCAGAACACGCGAGGCGGTGGCCGTCCGGACGCCTTGCACGACAAAGTGGCGTTTTCACCCTCGAGAACGGATACCTCGCCGTCCGAGGTGCCGGAACTCAAAATGTCAGGCGGCACTGGAAGAAAAGAGCTCGGATAATATTTCGTCAGGTGAAATAATAACGCGTTTAAAATTGTATTAAATGACTGGAAATATTATTATACTCAGAAATATTATTATACTGTTAAACAATCAAAGGATGCGATGGTAACCCAACTCCTTCAGTTAAATAATATTTTGTTATTTTTAACTTTACTGTAACAAAATATAAATTAATCCATTTCTGTTGTTAAATTGCTTTTTGAAATAAATAGAATCTGTTATTGACATATGCATTTATTAAATAATAAACTTAATTTAAGTCAGATGTAATACATGTCTTGAGTTAAATTATTTTTTAATTTCATTGTTTCAGTTAAATTAATATAAAAAGTTTTAGTTAAATTAATATAAAGAGGAACAGTGACAACTATAGAAATAATTAAAAATAACGCGAATTGGATATAATTCGATATTATGAATTTAGAGTACCATTATCGTCATCACCATTAGCAAAATTACTATTTTATATCATTACCATTTTCAACATTATTCACTGTTCGTGTGCATACGCAGAATTTAAAATAAAATTTGAAAAATTTCTTACGTATTATACACGGAGAGAATTTTTTCTTAGAATTTAACCTGACAAAATATGACCATCATGGAATAACATTGTATATCGAAGAATTTTAATTTAAATCTCTCTCATTCATTAATAAAACTACAATTAGATATAAAATAAGTTTGATCAATTTTACTGTGCATGGTAAAAATCTTTAAAATATTGTATTGTACCACAACTACCATATTTTCAGAGTAATTTTTAAAAGAAAATTCTCTCTGTGTAGAAGCTGAATTCTTTGGCTTCTTTTATTCAAATCGACATACAGCTGTTTATATCTTTTATTTGCAAATGACGCACAGTAATATGATTGTTTAACCAAGCTCAGTATCGAAAAAGATACGAGAATACGAGTGTCGTTTCTATGCAAATATGTATTAAAATAAATCTAAAGTAAAATATACAATAAAATAAGATAAAATAAAATAAGCTGTGTAAAAAGTATCAACTCATGATAAGAAAGAGTTATTTCACGAATAGTACTATCTAATCCACACAACAAATATATCATGGTGAATTACAAGGACCATGAAGAATATGTTATCAAAAATTTATGACTGTGGAACAAGAATATTTCCACCGACATAATTCCTTATACGCATTTTCTGTTAAATTAATCTCCTGTTACTGGTATGTTTTTCGGAATAAACCATTTGGCGTTTCATTTCATAAAATACGGAAAATTAATTCCACATAGATTTTAATTGCGCTTGAAAAAACAATCGTGAAACTCTTAAATTAATATTTTATATCATAACTCATTTCATTTTGCTATTATATTGGACGCTGGGAGCAGTGTAAAGTTCGATAACAAAAGAATAGTAAAACAGTCGAGTAACAAGCACGTTTTCTGAACTACGCGTGTCTGTGTGTGTGCGTGTGTTTGTGTGTACGAAATGTAAAGTACACCGATCGTTATATCATATAAACCTTCATAGAATGAAACGAATTTCCCGATACCACACACGTACGTTCATCTGTCACAAATTCAACACGTGTCCGAGGATTATGACATAATTTTACCCGATGTCACGCGTTATTGTCTAAGAAACAATTTACGAATGGAATCGAAATCGCGTGCCACATGAAACAATATATCTTCATATAAGTCTCTCTGACGTCCCTTTCCGATTTCCGAAAGAGAACGTCGCGGACGAAGACTGGCGGGTACGTGGACTATAAAGAATCGGTATTGCCGTCGTTCTAACACGATTTAACCAAGACGTTGCTGTGAAGACGACCGAAAAGTCATCTTGAAATCATTCCCGTCACACTCGACGGAAATGAAATATTGGCGGGACATCTCTCCTCAGGGAATGGTTCTCCTAATGGAATTCTATCCAATTCGAAGAGCCGTTCAATTCGTTTCAATTACTATGATCCAAAGCCGAACAAGTATGTCGCGGATATAACGTACACTGCGTACAGAATCGAGAAAAAAAAAGAGAGATGACATTTTCTCGTGTTTCTACCTAAAGGAATTTCATTCCATTCTGCAACGAGGGACCGCTTTTTGGCGTCCAAGCGAATAAGCGCGCATGTACGCGATAGAACGCATTCCTGGTTCATCCTCTCTCAACGCACAAAATAGATGATATTATTCGCGAGTCGGTCCATCGTGATATAAAAGTGAAATTATGCCATAACGGAACATAACGAGCGTACTGAGCGCATCTCTGTGTTGAAATTGAAGCAGATATTCGGGGTTATTTCGTTTAAGACACTACTACCGACGTATAAACTGCGCAGAGTAAATATTAAAGCAAATATTAAAGTTGCATGTATTACGTTGATATACTTAACTTTCGACTGCAGCAACGAATCATTATTTAGATCCGAAGCGAAAATTTTTGGATGATTCTACAGGATTGCCACAAAACTGAAAATTAGGGAAGTCAGAAAATTGTCAGGAAAATTAAAAGCTGTCAGGGAAGTCAGAAAAATTTAGAGAATTTTGTAAAATTTTCTGAAAAATTAAAATTCTTGACTTTAATAAAATTTAACATACATATATCACATCTGCAGTTTTGGAATACTATCAACTTAACAATTAAAACAATGTCAGCAACATCAATTTATATTATATGTTAAATTGATCTCTCAACCAAATATTTAACGGTTTCCAAATCAGGAAATATAAAAAGATTTCAAAATATTAAAAATCGGAGAAAATCATGAAATTTCTGTCTGGAAATCAAGGAAAAGTTATAGAATTTTAGAATGAGGAATTTGTGACAATCTGTATGATTGATACTATAAGGTTCTAAATTGTAGATAAAAAACTTTGAACCTTCCTTTATCAATCGCCGTAAGGCGAAGGTTCACCTACATTCTGTACTTCAAACAAGATGCTTTAGAACTTAGGTATAGTTTTCGTAGCTGTAGTTGAGTAAAAGAAGATAATGTAAATTTGATAGAAACAATTTAGTTCGACATTTGCGTACGAACCACAAAGTATGAGCATCCATCAGCTCAGCGACGCAGTCAGCGAACATCGATAGACTTTCTGCCAGGTAGACTTTCGAACTTTGTTATCGCGTTTAATTAAACTATAAATTAAAGCGCAGCCGTTAGCGTTTCTTATATGACCGATAATGCTCCTTGTAAACTAACTCTCTCGAATCGATATTACATCCTCTTCCTGAAGGGAACACGTGTTACAAATTAAGTTAGTTCAACTAACTCACTCACGGCGGACATGCCAAATTATTTAACGGATTTCATGATGGAATTAAAGGATTTGATATTTGGAGACTGAGATTTTAAAACTTTCTAAAGTGGATTAACGTCGGTTTCTTGAAATCTCTTCCAACCATAAGTTACTAAGCATATAGCACTACAACTACAGTTTACACATTGTGTCCATGTCATCATCTTGCATGGATATGTGTAACGAGGGATCTCTCTGTATTGCGCGACATCCATGCGTATGGCATATGTGTGCTATGGCCTATTCAAACGCGTCGCTCCAGCGGCGAGGCACGCATATTTTCCGGCCCTAAAGCCGACCTGGCCTAATGGAAACGCGGTGCGTGCGTGCGTACGTACGTGACGTCTCTGCCAACAGCCGCAAACCTGGCCGGTTGGTCGGAATGCGACGTAACGCGTGCAATTAGGCATACCTAGGACGTCCACGCATCCCAGCTGGCTCAACATAGGTTTGGTGTTGAGTTGGCACATGTAGCAACCACGATCGGCCTCCTTTAGCCCCCGAATATGCAGCTGCCAAGTGGCCTCCTCGTCCTCCCGCGACTGTGTCTGGTTCTTTGTCTTGGCGTTCTCCAGAGTGACGAAGAATCGAGTCGACTGGATGACCTTACGATCGCCCATTGATAGAATTGTTTGGTCTTCGGCACGTAGCCATCCCACCTGCGGGACAATGATAACGATATCGAGACTTTTCTTTAAAAGAAATGACAAAGATTTCGCGAATTTTTTATCAAAGATCACTGAGGAGAATCAACTGGAAAGATTACTTCTCTCTAACGACTACGGATTTGAATCACTGAATGAATACCGGTACCTCCTACGTAAATTGAAATTTCATTGAGAATTTAATGCTGAGGAATTTCCGGCAATGGTTTCATAAATTATCTTCCTATAATCACACGAATACCGGGATAAACGTATAGAATATTTGGTTGCTACTGCGTTATTTAATAGCAACTGTGCAATTTGATATCTATTTTTTTTAATACAAATAATACGCATAATACAAATAATATAATAACTCTCTGCCAAAGAAATAAACAAGTATGATACGTCATAAATTTTCTGCGATACTTGAAACTAATCTTTCTGCTTTAAAAAGTAACAGGGAAGATCACTATTGGAGGAACGACGTTACCTCACTTAAGTTATCTTCCCGTTGCGGAATGTTATTTTTACGCGACTTTAATGGAACGCGAACGTCTGTTTTATTTTCCAAAGGTTAGTGGAGTAGATGCACCAGTGGGAATATCCGCTTAAGGAATATTGTTAAATTCTACAACTTCTCAAGGATTATCTTTAGAAATGAAAGAAAAATATGAAAATTGTAAGATCACAAGTAAATGATCATTTCTTCTAATAAGTATTTTAATATATCAAAATGTATACGTATATTAAACACATTTTGAATATTTTGAAAATTCATATTTACTGATACAAATAATCTAGATTCAGTTATTATTTGCTGGTACACATTTTGCTTTATATTTTTTTCTATCGGTCCAAGCTATTATTAACTTGGGATAGTTGGGATAGTTCAGTGCATAATCCATAATGATATTCAGCAACCGCGCAGAGATTAACATCAAACATCGTCTTTCGCTCGTGTCCCGCTACGGGTTTGACGAAGCCAATATGAACGAGATGCTCTCCGAACAATATTATATCGCGCGCTATCGTCAAGTGCTCACGTGTGTGTATTCGTACGTGTATGTATGTGTGCACGTCGGCAGTAATTGCTTTTAGGCAAGTACGCATATTGTACCGGCTTGCACCCCGAGGTTGGGTCGGGCCGGTGCGGTTGGCGGCGGCATTGCAGGAATCAGCAGCGACGAAAGGTTCAATTTAACGTCGTATCTAGGTACCATCACTTCACTTAACCGCCGCCAGCCTTCGTCGCGTTATCTCTAACGATGCACTTGGTAATTAATCTCAAGTGACTGTTGTGTGATCCATATAACCATCTTTGGCCATACGCGTGTGGCCGGTTACATGCCGCACTAAGGCACAACCTGGACTGATGTTACCTATACACCTGTGCGACACACGTGTACCTCGCCACAACCTCAGCGGTGAGCTTAGACGAAGGAGTGATCGCTGAAAACAGGATTAATTGGCCTTGAAGACGCACGTTAATACACCGTCCATTTGACACGCGTTGATACAGGATTGATCATATAGTTATAGTTATATATGACGTAGAGACGTATCCAGACTCTTACTTCAAAAGTGATATAACTCAAAAATTAAGTTTTTCAAAAGAGGGGAAAAACTATTTTTCAACTTGATAGAGAATTATTGACTAAATATGCGCCAAAAAAAATGCGACTCTCACAATTAACACTTCAGTTGTCGATTTAGTTAAATAAAGTGAGTGGACGGGGGCAAATTTGATTATAACAAATATTTTGTCCTACCAAATATTTATTCGATACGATTTTCTTTAATTGCAATCACTGCGTTACTGTGTCACACTCAGCAAACATAATAGTGATTAAAAGAGAGTCGCATTTTTTTTGGCGCATACTATATATATATTTTCTTTTTGCCGATATTATTGGATTAGTCAATAATTCTCTGTCAAGTTGAAAAATACTGTACGTGTACTTTTAGAAACATGATCAATTATCATTTCTGTCATTTCCATTTCACAATCTTTAAAAACCATCCTTTTTAACTTGACGATTCGATATCTTACAAATCCCGATAGTTTATCAAAAGTGACATAACTTGAAATATCATTAATAGTTTACAATTTACTTTGATCAACTAACATGATTAAACAATTTCTTCTTCAAATTTCAGTTATTAAAACTGTGTTAACTCTAAATGTTTTTTTGTAGAAGATTCTCTATTTTATGTATAAAAACGACACAATTCAAAATGTGTCACCCTTGTAGAAGATATTATGATCTTTTTGAAAACCTTAAGAACTACACAAGTGCTATTTCGCGGACAGACTGTGAAGTTACCTTAGTTTACTTTTGATGATTGCTAGAGTAATCTTTACTTAACTAAGCGAACGATATCGTGCAATAAAGAACAATAAAATTTTGTCTTTTCGAAAGAAAATTTACCATTTAAACATGCATTTAAAGGTTATTTGAGATGTTAGATGAAATACTGATGATATAAATCAATATATATGAATTATTCACACACAGTTGGAAAAATGTGTTAAATTTAACATAAATCACATGTCCCAAACGGTCCACTCAAATTTTTTAGTTAATTTTACACAAGATGAATATGTTAGAAGATATAAGTAAGAGAATAAATACAAAGAAGGATAACATCGACACAG